TTTTTTTTTTTTTTTTTTTTTTTTTTTTTTTTTTTTTTTTTTTTTTTTTTTTTTTTTTTTTTGTGACTAAAAACGAAGTTATTCTTTGGCTTTTGTGACCAAAAACGAAGTGGAAGTATATAAGTTCTGAACTTCAAAACAAAGCCTCTCTTTTTCTATATGAGGTGTTTTCAAACATTCTCCTAATTAATTAAACAGTTGTTTCGTATCTATTGAGATAAACTAATATTGCATAATAGTAGGAGGTTAGTCACACCTCAGTAAATAAGTAGGTAGCAATGTATCGCAATTTTTTCCATTGGTTTTACCCAATACTACTTAGTATTAGTTTTGAAAACACCTAAGTGATCTTCAAAATAGAGTGGTAATTTGCCTCCATGAAAGTTATAGGCCTCCANAACTGATTAGGGGTCGAATACAGTGTTTTGCACACTCCATATAGCACTAGAACTGGGGAAAGAAAAGAATAGACAAAAGTCACATCAGTCTGAATGCATCAATCATTAGTTGTCCCATTCGTTAGCGTGTAAATGTCTGTTGAATGGTGTAATTTCTGGATGTCATTCTTTTCTTTCCCCACTTCTAAAAATAGGAGAGATAAAGTGGTAAATGAGGAAAACCTTGAATCAACAAAAGAAAACAAGATTTCGACCACAAGTTATGTATTGATTGAAAATGATCAGACAGCATGGATTAAAAATAAAAATATAGAGAAGAATCGAAATCAGCACTTCTGAGGGAAGATGAAACTTACTTCCATGGCGAATTGACCAGCATAACATCCCGTCATGGTACTACTTTGACCAGCGGCTAGAATACCTAGCGCCCAGATATACATTGCAGGAATTCCAAACTGGCATCCCAAAAATATACCTCCTCGATAAATATTTACATCAGCAGGCTCCGTGTTATTCTAAAGAGCACACAAACAAAAAATTAGAATGCAAGTAGAAGATTTTAGCAAAATTGGGAGTAAAATTATTACGTAAAATGTTCACATTTTTATCTCTACTGGAATAACATAATTAAGGAAGTGGATAATGGGTCAAAAGCACAAAAAAATGTTATTTTTTCATTTAAAAGTATTAGCTAGGAGCTGAGTTCAGAACATTTTTCACCTTCTTTTTTTTACATAGAGTTGATTTCTTGTAAACTTCCTACAATGGAAATATATACAATTCTTTTAAGTTGTAGATATAGGATCACGGAAAAAAGTTGCATTAGAAGTGGAGAGATGGATCACCTTGTGACCTCTGTGGAAAGCATTTTCCCTTTAAACCCGTGTATTTCAACACACTCACATAAATTGTCATAACGCTACTGATATTTGCCTGATTTAAAAATAAAGGATAGTTTGATTCTTAGCTCACTAGATAGTTTTGATAGTTAAACAAAAAATGTCAATACTTCGACCTCCACTATCTTCCTATTGTGTTGATTGATGGTACCGATTGATGTGTGGGTACTTGATTGAGGTAAGATTGTGTATAAATTGAAGGTGAAAGATAGCTTTGTAATAACAGATCAGAAGTACATATTACAATGATACAGAAGGGAAATGTACATAAAAATTAGGTACATACCGGAAAAAGAATCCAGTCTGGGTTATTATTAGCACGGCACACATTCATCTGGAGCCAGACAAAAAGATAAAACAAAGTTTACATTATTGAAATGAATTTAATTATTAATTTGATTTTCCTTTTTTTTCCCCCTTGGATTTTGTAGTCTTGGAGGTTTAATCGAGAATCTAAATGAACACCAAGATATTTTGCACTTTTGGCAGAGGGGACAATTTTGTCTCTAATATAGCTAGAGAGATGAGAAATTTTCATATAAAAGAATGTTGATTGTACAGACTTTGGTGCATGATCGTAGTCTTCTCTCCGAATAAAATCATCTCTGAGAGAGAAACTTGGAAAGAGAAATTGTAGAACTTCAAAACAAAGTCGCGCCCACCCTGTATGAGGTGTTTCATTCTTGTAATCAATTAAACAGTTGTTTCTTTTCTACTGAGATAACTAATATTTCATTACAGTGGGAGGTCAGTCACACCTCAGTAAATAAGTAGGTAGCAATGTATCGCAATTTTTTCCATTGGTTTTACCTAATACAGTTTAGCATTAGTTTTGAAAACACTTAAGTGATCTTCAAAATAGAGTGGTAATTTGCCTCCGTGAGAGTGTTAGTAGCCTTTTATGAGTAACTTTTCAATTGATGAGCCGTATCAATAAATCAAATGTCTATTGACACATGGCTCTTCAGCAACGGTTATTATCAGCATATAATCTATTCATAGATTGACAGTGTAGATTAAGAGATTACCATTGTATTTACATATGTTTTATAAATTGTTTATGTAATTTGTCTTGATCAATAAACTAAAAAAAAGGAGAAAAAGTACATATTATAACTTATAAAGTAAATAAAAAGCGCGCAAGTAAACTGTTTAAAGTTTTTATCCATTTCTGTGTGTTTCAATCCACATGGAGATTGACGAATAGGACAGGGCTCCATACATAGATTTGCAAGTAGATTTAAAGTAAAAAAATATTATAAAAAAATACTTACAACATCTTCATTTGTTTTTCTATACAATCCATGTGCAAACACAGACACAACAAAAACATTGATAATAAATGAGACAAATAGAGCTATACTAGCTTCGACAAAGAAGTAAAGGTTTGCTTCACGAACTTTTTCTTGCTTAGAGCGATCAACTTCTCTCGACTAGAAACAAAACAAAGAAAAATTTGGATAAATAAATACATTTCTTTCACTCAAACATGCACAAATTTAAATGTTTTCACTTCAAATTAAAAAAGCCACGAAATAAAAGTTTGATTCAAAATTGCTTAAAATGATACAAGTTGTAAAATGAGAACTTGTATGTAAACATGATATGTATATAAACATATTGGATTAAGGAAAAAAATGCCCGGTTCCAAAGAATCTGTAGGAATGTATGGCTGCAAAGACAAGATTGTTCACTGTTAACAGAGAGAAAATTTCTGATTTTATGTTAATGCTTCCAAATATTCAATCTAAGAAGACAGCTGCATTCACAAGCAGAAACAAGTACTCTCTACATGCACGCTCACTTAAATTCTATGCTTTCAGCTAGTTCTTAGACATAATGCATAGCACATCAGAATTGACTTTCCACTTGTCTCATCAATTTAGTGTCTCTGATTAAATTGAAACTTTGATACAGCTTCAATTCATCAGAAACATCTTTCTTTTCACAAGCCAGAAGAAAAATGTTACCAGTTCCCATGACTGACTTCGAAAACCTGATTGCCTTAGTTGAAGGATGCAAATTCATTGACAGACTCGAAGGGCAAAATAAGGCACCAATTTAGATAAGTAGGTAGGTTAGGTAAGAGTGATGAAATTTTTGGAATTAAATGTTAGAAAAAAATGCATTTTTCCAATGCAGAGATGGCTGCCAATTTAATACTGAATCCACTACTTTCATAACAGTTATTCAATTTTTTACATCATTTTCACATGATTTTAGATTCTCTCAACTTAACCTTTGTATGCTGAAGGTGCATATTATTTGATAAGTCGTTTTGAAATTAAAGCCATCAATGAGTTACAATCGTGTGTGAATGTAGCTGGAAAGTTTTGTTCTTTTTTGGATCAAACAATACTTTCAGTCTTACCTTTACAAGTCCTGAGTGTAAATATAGATTATGCGGCATTATAACAGCACCAATAATACCGACTGCTTGCACCAGCACTGTGCTGTCACAATCTTTACACCATGGTGTGAACATTCCACCCATGATGGAGGCTACTTCTGGTTTGACCACTCCAAACTGAAGGAGAAACAAAAGTCATAAAAAAATCATCTTGAAAAAGACAGAACTCAGGAATAAATAACATAAAATACTTACTATCAAAAGTTTATGAGGCACTTTAGAAACTTGCAGGGCTTGCTATATGCCAGCATCCAAACATTTAAAATTGTTCTTTTTTTCTAAAATTTTTCGTTTTTACAAGCACCCAAACCAGGAAATAAACATCCTTAGATGTCTAAGAGGTAAAGGCAAAATAAATGCAGAGGAAAAAAAAGGAGGAAAAACCAACACAACAGAGAGTTTGACCTTTTTTGAGATAATTTTGCGTACTTCATTTGCTTGTGAACATACCATAAATGCTAAACTCACAGGCAGATGAAAAAAGTAAACTTATCTAGGAGAGTATCTACTTACTTTAATCAAAATAACGAAAAGAAAAACGTTTAAAATTAAAGATTTTGCAGACGGCTTAATCTGAAAATGTATGTGCTTGCCACAAATGTAATTCTTTGTGATACTTAGTGAAAAAGTGCAGAGTGCTAGTCTCATTTTCAGATGGAGGCAAGTTTGACAATTGAGGGGTACAAGGAGATGATAAAGTACTAAAGAGACAAAGATCCAAATGGCATGAAAAACTGTACCTCATATCCAAAAGAAAGAGCCATCACAATGATCAAGAAACCGAACACAAGTTCCAGTTTTCTTAAGCCATACTTATCGAGTAACAGAAAGGTGAAAGTATCGACTACCGTTATCAAAACGCCCATCCATAGTGGAACACTGAAAAAACAAGTAACACAAATTTAAAACTACCTGTTAAGTGAATGGTACATAACCATGTTACCGTAAAGTGACCCTTGTGCTTAACAACGGGAATTCAGTTAAACAAATTTAGGGTCTACAAATTGGCATTTGAGTTGTTGACAGAAAAGACTGCAGTATTCTCAAATCGCTGTTGGCAGATCAATTCATTTTTGTACATGTAGTGGGTGTAAACTTGTATTTTATTTAGACACTCTTCAACCCCAATTATGGAAGATATAAACTTAAAATTAAATTTTTTATGAAATTATTATTCATGTACTGAATACATGTATGCCTGTCATGCAAGAACATGAAGTAAAACAAATCTTTTCGTGGCAGCTCACCGCAGATACAAGAAAACATCTGAATTCCTCTCTTGCTTGTTAAATGCATAGATACAACCTTTATAAAAGTACCCAGAATTAGAACACTTTAGAGTTTATTACTTGTCAAGGGGTTTAAAAACTCATTAAAAGTCACCTTGGTTCAGTTGCTCATCAGAGATTCTTATTCCTCATGTTAGAGAAGAACGTAAATTTAAGCTTCGTTATAATAATTTCGGTACAAAAATTTTTCAGTCTAGCATCTGAAAATGAACTATGTTTCAAAAGTATGATGAAAATGTATAACTTACAATTTATTAGTAAGGAGATATATAGCTATAGCTGTGCCGATTACTTCTTGCATGTCAGATCCAATGATGGCTACCTCCATCATGAGCCAGAGAAATAGTCGTGGCGCAGTGCGATATTGACGATAGCACATTTCTGCCAAATGTAGACCAGTGACAACACCCAGTCTGGCAGCAAATCGCTGCATGATTAAACCTAGGCATGTTGCACTTAAGAGGACCCATAATAACTGAATAAAAAAGATAATGGAAAGCTTTATTAATTTACAAAAGGAAGATCAAAATAATGATGTGGCGATCAAAAAGTACCAATTTTTTCAAATGATGGACCAATGTTTCATAAGCTAATTGCATTTGTTGCTCAAAGATACTGAGACTTCAGCTAGAAATAGAAACAATGGTCTACGTGCCAAAAATTACGTAGCATACTTAAAGCAATATCACATCGATAGCACTCCTTTCAAATGAAGACACTATACTATGGTCTATTATTCTGAACAAATATGATTAAAAAATATGATGAAAATTAGGATACTTTCTTGATTTTATTTAAACTATAATACTGTAATTAAGAATGGTTTGGATGCTTCATATTTGTAATATCAAAACAAAATATTCTTATACTAACTTTATATTTTGCGACAGTCCCTGATTGTAGATCAGATTGTATATTTCCAGGATCAAGGTAGGCTATGCTCATCAAGAAACCTGGACCTGTGAAAGCCCATAGCTTGCGGAAACTGAATGCAGCCTGAAAGGAAACAAAAATTTTAAACATTTCTTGACAATTTTTAGGAGACAAGAATAGGTGTAAATACTTTTGGACAAGTCTATTAATAAGTAGAAATCTTATTAGTGGAAAAGCAAATATGAGGAAATGACAGTGCAGTTTGCGATGATGCAGACTTCCTCTTAAACGATACTTCTTAATTTGAACACTAATTGATATAGATTATCTAAATTCCTATGATTTATCTCCTCTGTTTGAGGGTACTTTGTGAAATTATTAAGTAATAAAACTGGCTTATTCCCCTTTGAAAAAACGAAGTAGTAATAGAGATGTTGAGGTTCTGCAATCAATGTGCGTTTTCTCCAAGTAAAGCCATCAATAAACAAGTAAATGAGAAAAGTGCCGTCCCAAATTTTGTCTTGTGCTAAAGTCAAAGTCGAGAAAGAGTATTTTGAACGTGATAAGCTATCAAACTCTGCCCTAAAATTTGAATCTCATGGAGAAATGAGACTTCAAACCTTTTTTTTTCAATCAACCTTGATGGAACTTAAGGAGTTTCTGTTAAATTCGGTCCGATTGGACATATTTCTGCCAAACAGAACTATGTGCATTATGATGTGAACCTCGTCATGCATATATTCTTATTGGACTCAGGGTTCATGTCTTAATGCACATTTGGCAGAAATACGTGCATTTAAGCTATTGATATTGCTCCAGAAAAGTCTAATCCATCACGATTACTTTTCAGGTCCTTCCATTTTACAGGCACTCTGATAATAATAAACAAAAAAACAAACTTACATCCTCTGTTTCTGGTATGATCACTTGAGCATCTTTCATATACGCAGATCTAGTCTGTAGCGTTGTTGTTTCCGTCGAGACATTGCGGTTCGATTGATTTTTTTCTTGATCACTGGTATGATCTCCTGGGCAGTCCCCATCCATCGTCGGCTAAAACAAAAAAGATTTATTGCTGGACAAATATAATTTAAAAGACATAAACTAATATACTTCACAAATAGTCCTGAGCTCGTAAAGTCAACACCAAATAAGTTAACACACCTCTAGACTGTGACAGAAGATCCAGCACCTTGATTCTTGTCCTTAATTGTAATGCTAGACTGGCATCACAAGATGTACTGTCACAGTTTGAAAGTGCGTAAAGTTATTTCGCATGAAGTCAATGAAGTACTTAGTTTGAGGTGATAAATTCTGATGAGGAAAAGCACGCAGGGATTTTCAATCTAGACCTTGGTTATTGACCAATCAACTGTAGAGGCAAATCACTGATTTCCTTTACTCTCGAGGGAAAAGAGCACTCTTGAAAAAATATAAGGGACACAAAAATGGAGAAACAAATTTGGCCCAAGGTTAACATTAACCAAAAAACTCTTGTCCTTGTCCATGTTTCCATTTATATATTGATATGTAGCAGATATTCAGGTGCAATACAGGGGGAATGGACTTAGATGCAAGCAGTAATTAAGGTAAATCGAAAAATTAGATCAATCCTGAAACTGCTGCTACCAGCGGACTGACAGCAACAGAGTATATTGATTCAGTTGCCGACGTAACCACTTACATAACTCATTCAGAGAAGTAATGTGCAAGGGACACAGCTCAAGTTAAAAATAAATTTCTGAAGAGGAGCTCACAGGGGACTGACTGGCTAATTATGAAAAAAAATTAACATCCTTTAGAAGAAAACGGCATAGGTAGTATTTGATGCAGAGAAGCAATGAATAAGTGAACATTTGAAACCATAACCTTGTCATAAGTACGTAAAACTCTACTGTGCCCAATTAATGATTAAAAAAAGAATTGTACAGATGAATGGAAAATTGAGGGACTTACCAAAAGCATGTACTGAGTATTGGACATGACATTATCGTTTATCATTCAAAAATTTCGAGTTTCATCGAGCTCAAAGTGACATTTAATACACGGAGTGAGCAAAAAGTGGCAAGCCAGTTCATGGTACATAGGGAGAGATAAGAGCCAACAAAATCCATACTCAGCTCAAATAACTGCAAACTATTGGAGGAGATAACTTTCTTGATGATAAAAGCCAAACACTTTAGAAGAGAAGGCTGAGTAGGCAGGACTTCAACATGCTTTCAACTGGTAACCAGATTTCTAGGAAGACTCGTCACCAAGGGCCATTCGAATAAATATGAAACGTTTCCCGTCAATTAAATGGAGAAAAATGAGGAAGCTATGTAAGAAATAGAATGGTTACTTAGGAGAACTGTTAGATCATAGAGGGAGAAGACTAAAACCGATTAACACAACCCTAAAGTATCAAAATTTTCGAGCACTCACGAAAGTCGAATTCAAAGAACTGATAATTTAACAACTGTATCTATCACTAGGGTGATGATAATTTCTACACAGAAACGACGAAAAAGTGATGATACAGGTACTAGGAGGAAAACATGGTTGTTATGTCAGGTGAGAGAGGTGAGATAAGCGTCCAGAACTTCAGAATCTGAACTTGTGGAGGTGGTTTCAAGAGAACATAACCTCGAAGATTATTTACATTCAACATAGCGGACTTTTATTTCCGGTGTTTCCGGGTGGGCCTAGAAGGGGGGAGGGGGCGGAGGGTTGATATGACGTCATTTTTCGCAAAAAATTGCAGCAGAATTGATGTGTATCGTCACGACGATAAAACTGCCTTTTTAAAACGCTTACTTCAACGTGGCCATTTGACAATTTCTTTACTTCGTGATTATACCAAGGTCATTTTCGCCTAACTTTCTGGTGATCGGAAGAGGGGTCAGTCCTTTCCCCCTCCATTTACAGAAATTCAAATTCACACAGATTTGTTAAATTTTTAAAAAAATACAAGCAAAGCGCCCTCTTCTCGTCAAGTAGGTATGACGGACGACGAACACTCCCTTCAGTTTCAGGATGCAACTATTCGAGCTCCATAGATGTCCGTGTTGCATACGCGCGAAAGTGAAGGCGCTTTGACTTCAGACACTACCAGCGCCGCTCGGCGCTGTGGAGCGAGTCAGTGAGAGGAGTTTTACAAAATATGGAAACATTAAAAGCTCATATGGATGATTAGAGAGAGCGTGGAGGTTTTAGAGGTGGTTTCATTCATTTTCTCGAAAAATTTTCTTCGAGGAGCACGCCATACAATTTGTAATGTGAAGAAATTTACATAAAAATTTGCAGTTTTAGTCGAAAATTTTTGCGAATTTTTCGAAAGGCTCGTTTCATATTGCCGCGGGCTTTACTGCGAGGATTTAAGAAGAAACAGTGCCTCCAATTGAATCAGTGAGTTCGAAAACACACCAACTCGGAAAAAGAAAATTGTTCAGGAAACACCTAAAACTGCGCAGCGGGGCGAAGAATTTAGTTTAAGAAAAATATTTTTGGTGCCAAAGGACAAGTACTTAGAGCTTTGTAAAGCACCAAGTTGAAATAGATTAATCATGTTTGATGACAGGGAACGAAGCGTTTAAAAATTTCCGAGTTGGTGTGTTTTCGTTCTCACCGACTTTCAGATACTGATTTTTCTTCGTCTGCCCTGAAAAATTTAAATTTTTCGACCAGAATAACGCTTGAATATGTATGTACATAACTTGTGGGTGCAAGGTATACTGAACCGAAAAAAGAAAACCGCAGAATCGGATGGTCCCGTTTCCCTTGAAATGGCCAAAAATTGGTATTTCCAATTGGTATTTTCCAAATACTTTGATTCTTTCCTTTTCCGTCGCTGTTTCGAGCACTTCCGATTGCAATTTCGAAATTTCCCTTTGAGTGCAGATGCCTCTATCCGTAAGTGTTACTAAACCGTAAAAAAGTGAAAATCGAAAAAAACCCGAGTCGGTGTGTTTTCGAACTCACTGATTCAATGCTTCATGTAGGTATAGTTGAGCGGAAAAATATAATCTTTAAAGCAACCGGAAACTCAGGAGTGTTTCCTGTTGATGCAGTGATCAACGTCTTCGTGTGCCATATGCCATGGCCGCTAGGCGGTATCACTGTCCGTGGCAACTCGGTGTCGATGTACAATATTATGTAAGCGTACTTGAGTAAATAAATATACTAAAGTATTTATTTGTTTCTGGTTTTTCTTAAAAATACTTCAAAGCCATCTTTTAGGCATGAATATAGTTGCTCTACAAATCATGCTCAGCATATCGCGATATCAAACTAAAGCAGAAAAGATGTTCACACCGTACACCTGTATGCAAGCATTTATGCCTTGTCGAGAAGTATCTTTGTAATATAAACGAAGAATTGAAAGCGCTCTGCCATTTTGGATCTTCGCAGTAAATCCCCTCATTGCCGCCGCATCGCGGCACAGTGGATCGAGTCAATTAGAGAGGTCGGACAAAATTTGGAAAGGTTGAACGCTTATAACTCCGTTTATACACATTTTTGAGGTTTTAAAAGTGGTTCCATTGATTCCTTCGTGAAAATTTCTTCAGGAAGCACTCTTTAAAATTTAAAATATGACGAATTAAACATTAAAATTTGCAGTTCTAGTCATAAATTTCATGTCCGACCTTTCTAATTGACTCGATCCACTGTGCGCAGGTGGAGCGGTGAGTGCGTTGACAGCCAGAACGCCTTCACTCCCGTGCGTATGCAACACGGACATCCATGGAGCCCGAATAGTTGCATCCAGATGTATAGGTGAAAATTGTATAGTGTTCGTCGCATTCGACACTAAGGGCGGTTTTGCTTGTTTCAATTACACTGTAACTTAATTTCAGCGTTGCTTACGATGCCGATGAAGTAAACCATTACGGAGTTTCATCGCGACATGGTCAATTTTCCGAATAATGCTTTGATTGTTCAAACATATAATAACGCTGCTGTTTCAAAATGTGGCCTGCAGTCTTCACCTCCTCTGATCTAAAAACGACAAATGCGACATAGTTGTTCCACGGGGTCACTTCAGGGAAACTTCGAGCGCGCCTATCTTAACATACAGCATATTTCGACGGTGTGAGTCGGCAATCACATAACTCGGTTTGCAACGTTGCAGACTTCCTGTCGTACTTCATTTTTTAAACGGAAAACTACTCAACGGCAATTCTTTAAAACTGCCGTGATTGTTCTCCTCTGTGCGAAGAAAATTCTGCAAAAACTTCGAGGAATGATGTCAATTTGTTCTCCTTCAAAAAATAACATAGAGGCGGAGATTTTCAGACACTGCAAACGAGTTCTGTGGCCGACTCACTCCGTTGATTTGTAATTCNCCCCCCTCCACCCGGTATAGGCTCTTTATAATGGTTGACTTTTAAGGACTATTTTGGCCAATATACAAGGATTTTAAGAGATTTTGCCACATAGTACCGAATGAAGATTGACGCATGATCGCAAGATGACGTCCAGTTAAGGTCAGCGTCGCGTCGTCCTGATTGTCCCTAACGAAAATTTCCATGGTATTCAGTTCAAAGGATTATCTCGTCAGCAAAATGTACAGCTTTAAAACATTGAGATCCACCACTCGAGACTGAGAAAACAATTCAGCAGTAAAACAATCGACAGTAAATCCAGATCTTCTCCTCCGATTTTCCCCCCGAGTACGTGCCACAGAGCACGTTCATACTCGCCTCTGAAGTACCGAGTATGAATCTCGAGATTCGCAATTCACCGGATAAGCTAGAGTGGTAATCCCACGCACTTTAATCTCGGGCAATTTTTCGGGATCGGTGCTCCCTTTCGACGGGCCTTCTCCGGCGAAACTCGACCCATCATGGCGCCCTGCCATGCTTAAAAAGAGTATGATGTAGCGAAGAAAAAAAGAGCCGAATGTACAGGGTGATTCAGGGTTAAATGGCCAGACTGCTGGAGCCGAAACACCCCCAAACCCCCTCTTTAAATTGAGATTTCGATTTTTTCTGATAATTTATGAATTCAGGGCATAAGAGTACAGGATAGTACACGTTTTCATGAGATTTAGTTCACGACCGTTGCCAAAATTC